AGCTGCCTCTTCACATCAGACAGGCCTCAACTCCTGGAGTTTTTAAATCTCTTCTTAAAACACACCAGTTTTCAACAGCTTTTAATATAGTATAAGAGTTGTTTTCCCTGTTTGTTTGGTCTGTTTTTCTGGTTTACCATTATTTGTGTATTGTTTGTAATGCTTTATTTTAATAGTTGCAGTATGTGAAGCAGCTTGGCCATTGACAGTTGTTTTTTTATATTTTAACCATTTATCTGAGCCATGTAWAGTCATATTCAGCTGTACCACCAGCCAGATGTTTACACAAGTTGGTTTTATAGATAAAACCCACATGATGTCAATCTTGTCAGACTGGGATGATCCCTTGCAGTGCCATGAGTCAGTCCTTTATGGCCACACAATAAAAGCTTTACAGAACATGGCTGTGYTGTGAGGAATGAAGACTGCGGGCCTCATGGTCAAACAGACTGTTTTAAATCATGGAACCCTGAAGAAGGAGAGGCGGCTTCATTATTCATACCAGACACAGCTGGCTCTTTGATTCCTATACACAATTATGCAGCRTTCCAGACGTTGGTGCGCGGCAGTTGGCTGCCCAGATGGGACACCTGTACATTTCTCAGTGGGAGGAGCCAACAAACACAGCAGCTTTGTTGTCAGACTGAGTATAAAAAACTATGATAAATGTAAAAACATGTCTTCTAATTTAAGCCATTTCATTTCTTACAAGAATGCGTATTGCCCATCAACTTTTTATTCAAGAGTTTGACAGTTGTATGTGTTGTATTTTGCCGTGTGGCTGTGCACCACACACCAAACTTGTTATGTTCATGATTTTTCATTGTCTTGTGTTGGATCTCTCAGTCTTTGAAAATTAACCAACAATGTAAGAATCTTAATGTTAGCCTGATTTATTCAATCAGAGACCAGTTGTGATGTGTTTGGGATCGTTCCCCTCTTTGAACACCTAACTGTGTCCAATGATGAATTCACACCAGTTAAGTAAAGGAGTGGCTGCCATGCACCAGTGCCACCGGATCCTCTGACCACCAGGCAAGATGGGTGAAGTGTCTTGCCCAAGGACACAACAACTGAGACAGCTGGAATGGGGGATCGAACAAGACGGCAAACTAATACGGTATCAGAGTTTTATATATTTATACTTCTCATTCAATCACAGTTAAATTCACTCTATCTAGGAGGCTCAGTTTATATGGATAGTTATTTATTTTTTACAATAACAAGCTGGAATGAAAACGAGCAAAAATGAAAAAAAGTAACAACTTTATACTTCTTGTCTTTTTTTAAAATGAAAGGAGTAGAAAGTACAGATAAATGTGTGAAAATGTAAGAAGTAGAAGTAAAAAGTAGGCTGAAAAATAATTACTCAAGTAAAGAACAAGTATCCAAAAATTCTACTTAAGTAAAGAAGTAGTTGTACTTAGTTACTTTACAACTCTGAGCGCAAAACCATTTTTTGTCATCAAATATGCGTTTTTTTCGAAATTGGTGTGTTTCCATWAAGCAAATTTATTTTTACAATTCTAATTTGTGCATTTTCATGATCAATGGAAACACAGCTAGTGTTAACTCAAATTATTTTCAGCAAGCTGTCATGCAGGGCTAACTCAAACAAAGCAAGAAAACAAATACCAGAACGTTTGGGTTGTTGGTACTCCTAACGCTGATGATCCCAGTACCTTAGGTTGTCAGTATGACTGTAGGCAGCATGTTCTAACCATCTTCTGACAGCTGTGGAGCTGTGAAGTGACTGATCCAATCACTAAACACATCCCAGCAGCTCTGCTGAAAAGGAGGAATGTATTGCTGCACTGTTTGTCCAGCTGCATATCACTTAAACAGGCCTGTATTCTAACAGGCAATGCAGCTATCACTGATAAGATTCTTCTAAAAATGTTTTTTTAAATGTTCAAATATGCCAGCATGTTCAATCAGAATCMGTTTTATTGCCATTGTCAATGAACAGGATTCACAGACTAGGAACTTGCTTCAGTGTAAAGGTGCAATAGGTGTCAAATATAACAAATGAAGAAAAAACAAACAAAGGATAAAGTAAAAAAATATAATAAAATATATAAAACATTTGTACACCAGTTCAATACAGTAATCGGAGCAGACATTGTTTAAAACAGTCTTCTTCAACCTCTTCTCTGTCAAAGTACTGTAGATAAGAGCAGTGATCAATTGGATTTATCTGTTGTGTACTTTAAAATATGAGTGCCAAACCCTAAAAGTGATGGTTCAGAACACATGTAGCCTACTCACTCACTWTGCAACATAGTGCAACGCATAGTTGCATAGTTGCAAAGTGCAACATAATAATTAGCACCAGTGTAAAACATTTAATGGTTTAGGATTGTAAAGTGTAGCATTGAAATATGTCCTGTAGTGAATTTCAACATTTTCAAATCATCCTTTAAGTAAGGCCGACACACAAAATAACTCTTTCACTTCTGTTATCCAGTTTGAAGAGCAACATCAAACCAGACTTTAAATCACAGCCTTGTGGTTCTCTTTTGAGGTAGTATTTTATTAACAGCTTATCTGACCTGTAACTCCTTGTTCCTTCGATGCAGTGTAATGTTCAACGCCTCCTCTGCCTCCAGCTTGGTGGTGGTATTGCTGATCTCCAAGTCCTTCCTTCAAAAAGAAAAAGAATAAGGAGGGGGGAAAGTAGCTATCAAAAATATGTACAGTAGGCTGCCTTCAGTCCCAGGCCTCCCTTGCAAAAGAGAAGCTGTCTAACCTTTAAATGACGTGTTTGCATGACCACGCTCTACCCTGTTACCATGCTTATCTGTTTTATACCACATGCCTTCAGACTTAAAATGTGTTGGGACATGTATTCACACGTCTTTTCACTGCATGAATAACATCACAATTAAAAACATTAAACATAAAAAATTTAAAAATACAGTAATAATTTGGGTTTAGCTCCAGTAACAGTACTTGTATTTGCATTTTATTTGACATTTGACCTGCTACTTTAGTCTTAGTTTCAGAACCTCCTCTCCAGTGGTTCTAAGCAGATAGAAGCAGCACAATTATGATTTCGATGTCAGCAGAACGCTGCTCGTGGAGTAGCTCTGGGATTGAGTGACAGAAGAAAGGCAGAGAGAGACGCTTTTGTTTTGGAATACAAGCACGCAGCATGATACAAAACATGGAAAAAGCAGTGATGAAACCATGGTCTAACTTTTTTGGCGACCTTGGAAAAGGCGGAACTTCCTGGAGTGAGGTAAAGGAGAATAAGTTTAGCAGATAACTGGGAGGTTTCAAACAAACTGGCTGCCAACGGTTACACAAACAAAAAATAAATAAATAAAATGTAAAGCCTGAATGGTAAAATCACAACAGCTTTTTTTAGAACACAACAGTTAAAGCCACCCATAATCACACCCACAGAGTGAGGGACGCACTGGAGTGGAGACACACACACCTGAACAGACCTGAACTGAATAGAGTAGATCTGTGCTAATGGAGAAGGGGCTTAAATGGCAGACAAATGCACACTTCGAAGGATGCAGCCCCAGAATTGAGACACTGCATAGGTATACTGTTTCTGTCATGTTTTGGCTGCTCCGTCTGTKTCTCTGTTCTCCTGTCACTCATCCGCAGCTCACCTGTTCATACCACGCCCCCATGTTCATTGCCACAGCAATCAGCTTAATCTGTTTCACATGTTCACTCTCCTATTTAAGCTCCATTTACACAGTCACTCTTTGCCAGATTATTGAATGGTTCCCCCAGTAGATGTCCAGGACTTTATCCATGGCCATGCCTGATTTATCACTTCTGACCGACGGCTCGCCTCTCGACCATCACCTCCTGCCTGATTCTGACACTGACTCTGATCCTTGGCTTCCGACACGTTTCTGTTTTCTGGAACCCGTTATTTGGATTGTGACTAGTTTTTGGCTCTCTGACCACCCAGCCCTGACCTTGGACTGCCCTCTGGAATTCCAAACCCCACTCGCTCCTTCACCTGGGTCTGTGCCCTCTCAGACCACCATCATCTGTGGACTTACCCAGCCTCGTCCGTCTGCAGATCGAAGGCCAGTAGCCACTTCCTGTTTTCACAGAACCTCCATCTCTGCTTCTGACACTCACCAGTGTTCTGTTCCACAGCGTGTGCCACCCTGAGGGTCCACTGGATCATCACAAATCAGTTTACTAATAAACTCTTTAAATCTGTTTTTGTTTTCAGTTGTTGAACCAAAAAAACACTCCTGTCAGTTTCAGAACTAATGCAGGTCTTTGTTCAGATCACGATTAGTCCTCCTGCTTTTAATATTGACTCACCTTATTTAAGACCTTAGTTAGAGCGTCTTTGACTTTTATACCATGAAAGTTTTTATGGTATTTATTGTATTTACTGTCAATGATTTTTTTGCTTTTCCTGCTGGCTGTTACACAAACTGCCCCATGGGAATATTGAAGATGACTTGACTTAGTCCCTTTTAGTCCATAGGCCAGACCACTTTTTGGTCCATTTCAGGGTGGCAAAGCTTCATCATAATTTCTGAAAAAGTACATGTTTGTAGAGTGGTAGTAATTCAAAGCTATCAGCTAATAAACTTAATAATCCATTAAAAAAACTTCTGTTTTTCACACTTTTGTATAGCTAGTTTAGGCTCTTGATACGGACATTGGTCAAAGGTGTATAATATTGTGTTTGGAATCATTGTAAAGGGGACCTTCTGGGCTTTCATTTTAGCCCTTATTTGTGTCTCTGATCAACACAGGGGTCACTAGAACTTTTTAAACCACAAAAATACAGTTTTTGCACAATTTTTTGCCCAAATTAAATATTTCTTTTAGCTTGGTGACACCCAGGGGCATCAGGGACAGAAGAGTCAATTACTGCAGTACTCACATGATTCTAAGTATTCAGGAAATGTATAAAATATATCCGTACTGTCTCTTTGGGGTAGGTGTGTGTGTGTGTGTGTGTGTGTGTGTGTGTGTG